GCAAGGTCCATGCTCTTTGACCTTTTTCCCTGGCTATTACAAGACCACGTGATGGAAACCCCCCATGCACGTGGGGCTCGATGCCTGTGCTAATCACACACTGCCATGTGGTGATATCCATCTGGCAATCCACTTGAATTGACTGCAGACCTCGTGATCATAGGCGAACATGACAGGAACAGCAAGCGGTAGGGGTCGGTCTGCCACGTCAAGGATTGAAATACAAAGAAAGAGAGAAGGAAAGAAATGTCCCTGATTTATTTTAAATATAACTCTAATTATTTAATGTATAATAAATCTTAATTAAAACTAACCTAAAAAATGAATAAATAAAATAAAAATGATACACGCGCACGTATCTTTCGATTTTTAACAAAGAGGATTAGCATGTCACTTCAATCCTTAATCGCCATGTTTTCTTAATATATTTTATCAAATTCGAACATAATTTTCCCACGTTAGAGCCTCTTTGTTTTTTATTTTAAAAATATTTTTAAAAAAATTATTATTTTTTATTTATTTTAAATTAGTACATTTTTAATATTTTCAAATCTTAATATTAAAAATCATTTTTAATAAATAAAAAATATTTTTAATATAAAAAATTATTTAAAAAATAACCATACAACCTCCGACACTAAAAAAGGAATTCATAATGCCGTCCCTTTCTTCTTCCTTTTTCATTAAAAATTACCTTAAAATTATACATCCTCACGCAATGTCCTTCATAGTGAACTAAGAACATTTACTGCAAACTAAGGCTTGGTCTAGCAGTGAAAAAAGCTTGTCTTCTTTCACCGTACCTGGGTTCAAATCCTAGCGTGCACGTTTCTTTCACCGCACCTGGGTTCAAATCCTAGCGTGCACGTTTGTCACCTTCGCGGTGCCTTACATGCTTACTGAGTTTGCAGAATATTTAATGGGCCGTGGGGATTAGTCATGGATATTTAGTGGGCCGTGAGGATTAGTCATGGTACGCTCAAGCTGACCTGGACATCCCACGTAAAAAAAAAAAAAAACTAAGAACATTTACCTCCCCAACCTTATATATATACACACACACATATCATAGACTGTAGACGGCACACACACACACACATATCATAGACTGTAGACGGGTGGATGATGTACCCTAATGTTTTAAAAATTATTTTTGATATGCATATATTAAAATAATTTAAAAATATTAATTTAAAATGAAAAAAAAAGAATTTTTCTATCAGAATTCGAAAGAACAAATATTGTTTGGAAGTTCATCCTGCGTTTAAAAACGAAAGTGAAGCAACAATTCAGAGTGAGGTTTTCATGTACATCTCTAACCTTGAAGAAGAAGTGACTGGAGGCATGCGCATCCATTTTAATGGAAAGTTTCCATGTACAGCTCCGTAAACACGATGATGACTTTGAAGAGATGACATGATCTAATCCATAATCCGGCATGGGAGGCGGATCAACTCTTCACAGAGAAAGGGAGGACTGACGTGATTTTGCTGCATTTGGCAGCACATATATATAAGCTTTGAGAAAATGCCTCGACTCAGAAACTGTTCATGAGCAAATAATTTAAAGCTTGCGTATTGGCATTCACGAAGAACCTCCAAAAAGAGAGACTGCCCCATTAAAACAAACAAAGGCAGCTAGAAATGACCTCAACAGATGGAGATTTTGGAGTGCCTACAAAATTGCTGGAAAGAAATCCTGTAAAAATAAATAAAACAATATCAATCCTCAAAAGCAATGATGAAGATACTAAATAGTAATGCCTTTCATTCTCATAATGAAGATGAGGTGGGTTGCCTCGTCGGACAAGCACTTTTTGGTGATGGAGCAGCAATCATAGGCTCAGATCCTGAAACGCAGATAGAAAAGCCTCTATTGCAACTCGTTTCTGCGGCACAGGTTATGATTCTTGACTCGGAGCAGGCAATCGAGGACCATACTGCCGAAATGGAGCTATCGATCCATTTATCAGAGGATGCGCATGAACTGATAACCACTAACGTTGACGCGGCTCTTCGAGAAATTTTGACCCCAATTGGTGGTGGTTCAAGTGATTGGAACTCGTTATTTTGGGCTGTACATGCAGGAGGGCGAGCAATTCTTGACGAGGTAGAATCGAAAATTGGGTTCAAAGTAGAGAAACTTGGCGTTGCTAGGCACACACTAAGTGAGTATGGGAATTTGGCAAGTGCTTGTGTGCATTCCTTGTACTTGATGAGATGAGGGAGAGATCTGTCATGGAAGGCTAGGCCAGTAAAGGGAAGGGCTTGAAGTGGGGTGTTCTAATTGGGCTGGGACCTGGTCTAACCATGGAAACCCTTGTATTGAACTGTGTGTCCCTGCTGCGATTACAAGGAAGTCGAGCTCTCGACTGGCTCAATGTCTTCCTTCCATAACAAGTGCAATCCAAGCTAACAAGATCCCTTTTTGCCACTTGTATGATTGTACTTGTTTTGCAGTATAAACTAAAGGGTTCTTAGCTCTTCTGCTTACGACCCAAAAACAAACTAGCAGTCTCGAAACAAAAAGAAATAAAAGGCATATGAAAAGGACTAGATGATATTAAACAGGGAAGCAAACTTCGACAACATTCATTATGCAGTAATTTCTTAAATTACAAAACATTCGATCCCAAACACGCAATTTACCATCCAAAAAAACAAGAACATACCATTTTTTTCATTCAAGGTTGGTATGCCGAGATCGAATGACCTCAGGGCTCTGTCCTAAAGCCTCACCTAACTTGTAAACAACCATCTCAAAGAACACAAACAAGGCCCCCTCAAAAACACTTCCCATTGGCATCAAAGGCCTAGATTTCTCCTCTCCGCCATCGCCATCACCCTTATCATCAGCCAAGGCATTAAAGGCCTAGATTTCTCCTCCCCGCCATCGCCATCGCCATCACCCTTATCATCAGCCATGGTCTGTGCTGGCAGATAACAAACCACGCTAGCATGCTTCACACAGGATCCTGTCTCAGGCTGAGCCGTCAACAACAACACTGTAGCACCATACGATCTTGCGAGTGAGCATAAGGCATCAACAGTTGAGAATCCTCCAGGTCCAGCAGAGGCTATGAGGAGGTCATTTGAAGTGATTGGTGGGGTTGTCATGTCAAAGACAAAGTGGGTAGAGATGCCAAGGTGAGCCAGCCTCATGCACAGAGCCTTGAGCATCAGGCCCTCCCTACCAACCCCATAGAGGAAGACACTACCATTTTGGGCTGCCGTGGAAGTGAGAGTGGTGACCATGAGGTCTAAGGGTGGTGGGTGGGGGCCAGTGGGTTTGGCAAAGATGGAGGCCATGTGATTGCATATGCGTGACGCTAGAGAGGACATTGAAGCGGTTTCGGTCCCCATTGTTTTCTGCTGTATGTTTTGTCTTTCGATTCTTGTTTTTAAGTTGTATAGTACATGAAGGGATATCTATCAGGAAGAGTGTGTGGACTGGATTGAGTGAGGAAGTGAACAGAGTAAGCAAAATGCACCACCCATAAGCAGCTTCCAATTGTAATGACACATGGAGTTACCATATGTTCCAAAAGCGAACCTTAACATAAGACCTCACGTTACCATAGGTTACTCTCGGTTGCGAGAGACAAGTGTTCGATCACCAAAACACGAGTACTTTATTTCGCTTGCTGAATTTTCAGCCACAAAAACTTCTTTTTTCGCTATCTTTTACTCGCCATCTTATAATAACTTCTAAAAAAGCAATGTCGTGCAAAGCTTGCCATCAAAAGGATTAGGGCAACTCTGACCTTCTCATAAACAACAGAAAAATGGTCAGTTGAGCTCATCCTATGCACTTTGCAAGATAATACACACCAAGTAAAACCATAGCCAACAGCAACAAAAGATTCAATTATCCATAAAAGAAAACACATGTTTATTTCCTTCGGAGGAGAACAAGGGTGCAGCTGCAACCAAAAAGTTGTCTCATGACAATTGACAATGCAAGGCTCAAAATCTATTTACAAATTTCAAGTAAAATCACACATGAAAACATACAAATCAGGAAAGGTTACATCTTTGTGTTTGAGAGAAGGTAAGATACATCTTGTTTTGTAACAAAATACCATGAAAGTGCCAAAACTGTCAGCTTCTCAAGTGTCAGATTGGTTTGATAGCCTCTAAACCCCATTAGCTGGAGGTGAAGAATTTTTATGTGAAGTTGCAGTACCTTCTTCAATCTCTATATCTCTCACACCAGCAGTTAAAGATGAAGTGCCCTCCTTCTCGACACCATTCGCTTCATCATCTTCGTCCTCTAGGAAAGAACCCTTCCGCCTTAGTTCCTTCACTTTCCGAAACTCATCATAATGTGCTCGTCTCAGCTCCCTAAAACTTGAACTTCTATCCGTTTCAGAATCTGACGGTGGAGGAACAAAGAAAGTCCATCAAAATCATGCTGGGAAATGAACTGATGAAAGCAGAACTATTAAAACTACATTAGAGGGAAAGAAAGAAAAGATGGCAATGATTTTGAGAGATCGGTAATCTTGAGCAAGGAGAGGCACTTGCAGAAATATACAAACTAAGAGAGCTAAAAAGATGGCAACAATTTTGCACGAGGGAAAGTGCATACAACCCTAACCGCAAGCACAAGAATCAAGGACATTTAAGCTTCAAAGAAAATCATAGCTATATACAATGGTGAAGGTGAAAACCTAACTAAAGAGAACTCGTGTGTGAGCTACATATACACCCTTCAGTTGCTGATGAGATGATTGATGGAATCTAAAAATTTATGTCTGTTAAACAAAAGATTATGAGGGAGAATAGAAGAACAAAAAGCACCCGATACCTTCTGTTTCTTCACAGATACCTTCCCAAGAAATTAATATACATGATAAAAATGATTGGCGCAATGCTAAACTCTCACAAGTTGCAACCACAAGGGAGCAGGGTTAATCATTCAGAGCAGTCATTTCATGCAAAAAATGCAGAAGAAACAGACTTCTCCGAATTCTCTCACAGAGTCCCACTTTCATGTGATCAAAACTGGATAATGGCATGCCAGTACAACAGTGAAAGCAATAACACAAAATTGATTCAAAGATTGTATGGTTGTCTATGCAATCTATGGGTTTAAGTTTAAAGTAAAAACACTTAAACTGAAGAGCAAAGATGCAATGATGGACCTTCTTCATCTTGTTCCATAGGATCAGCCTCATCCTCAGATGATGTCCAGCCACTAGATCGTTTAGTTGGGTTTCTACTTGAGGATGCCATAATATCCAATGCAGACCTCAGATCTTCTGCACGCATTGCATCCTCAATAACCTCATTAAAGCTGCCCCCCCTTGGAGAAAGAGAATCTACAATAGGAAAAAAAAAAAAAACCAGCATGGAACCTTTGGTTAGTGTCTAGGAAGATGTCATATTTTACAGACAAAAATTAAAGAGCATATAAGGAATTCTATCCAATCTTTTAAAGCAGCAAATTTAGTGAAAAAAGCTTTATGCAGTTATCCAGTAATCAAAAAGAAAACTCAAACCAAAATTTGGGAAATACTAGACAAAACTCAAATCATAAAGGCTTGACTCCATCATATTGGTACTCTTGAGAGTTAACACCTGCAAAACACTACTGTACAATTTGATGGACATTCAAATGCTAAGTAAATAACAGTATTGCAAAAAAGAGATAGATCAACATACCATCATCAACATCAATCATGGGGTGATACGGGGTCTTGGGTTCAGTGATTTTCTGCCTCACAGGCTTATTTGCTTCAATTTCCACAAGATTATCCTCGTTCCATTTTACTCCCCTGTTATCACCCCAATACATATGAACAACATGAATACAAATCTTACAACAACTCACGACTAAATAAAAACATAGATGTAAACTAAACTGCAAAGACGGTATAAATCATTAAGAAAAAAACAAACAGGAAAACCCAGTTTCTCACTCGAGCAATCAAAATACAGGAATTTACAAAGAACCCACCAATAATAATACTCTACATAAACAACTTCCATAAACTATATTCTATAATCATTAAGGAGAAAACCAAAAACCCATTTTTCTTTGAATAAGAACCTGCTGATTCCTAGCATTACAATCATAATACAAACATCCATAGATAACTAAAGAAAAGAAAACCCATTTTTTGTTTATTAAAGATAATTAAGAACACTAGTATGCAAGAATGCAAACAAATGGAAACTGAAAAAATCACTTCATCTTTTTGGCGGCTACGAAACAGCTGCAGATTGAACTGATTCAACAAAGACAGAGAAATTTGTCAAATTCTTGATAAAATCAGATTAAACATACACTTAAATAATAAAACAGATCATTAGAATTAAAAAATAAACAAAAAATTCAAAATTTCTTTCTGGGTTTAGAAAAAATGACAGATTGTGCATGATTTAAGTAAATTTAATGGTAATCAATCAATAAAATAAGGAAATAAATACTATAGAAAGTAATAAAAGTGATTATAATAATTAAATGAAAAGAAAAATGAGAGAAAGAGAAGATAGATCGGTACCTGTTTGTGAAATGTTCTGCTGACTTCTGTTTTGCTAGCAATCAAAAAAATGGCTCGTTTTGGCGTTTACTTTTTCATTTATCATCTCTTAACTCTCCTGCTGTTTCCAAAACTACCCTTTCATATCTTTAACGGCGTGTTTGGAATTTGGACAAGTAGAAAGAAAGGAAGCATCGAGAAAAACAAAAGTAATTAAACACGGTTTTACTACATCAACCTGAAACATTTCATTTTTTTTAAATAAAAATAGTATAGTTTTAATTTTTTTTTTAAATCAAAGTATATTTTAAATAGATCATAAGTTAATTAGATAAATTTATTAAGCGTAAAATGCTATTTAATTTATTATAAAACCTGATTTAGATTACAAAAATAATGAGTAATGGATTTGAGATTTAATTATAAATGAAGGAATTTATTAAATTCAACTAAAGTAAAGAGTTTAATCTGATAAAATTTATAAAGTAACATTAACCTTTTAAAAAAAATCACAAAAATATATTCAAATTCCATTAACATTAACCTTTTTTTAAAAAAAAATCACAAAAATATATTCAAATTCTATATCACTTAAAATGTTTTTTCATTAATGTCAGTTAAGCTCCAACGATCACTTAAATTTTTTTTTTTCATTAATGTCAGTTAAGCTCCAACTTATTAAACAGAAGAACTTCTATTTTTATCGATTTTGATGATCCCTTCTTTAAAACCATCCAAACATAACCTAAGATTATTGAATATATAAATAAATAAATAAATTACCTCACAAAAAATAAAATAAAAAAGAGTGAGAAGCTCTGAAATCACATGTAGATTTGAGCAGGAGAATAGCAGAGCATCAGCAACTACTACTCTTTATTATTATTCTCTCTTTCAATTGTCACCAAACTGTAAGACTCCTTACTCTTACATGCATGTGCCTTTGATTTTTTCCATAACATATTTTATTTAAAAGAAAATGTTTTGCTTTTTTTTTTTTTTGTCAAGTTTTTATGATTTTCAATGCTAAAAAGCAGCTGGGTTTCTCTCAATTTTCAAGCTTGTGCTCAATCTTTATTTTGGGTCACTTTTACTTTGATGGTTTTTGAGGTGGGAACTTGAGATTTACATGTGATTCAGTTTCTTATTAGTGTATTCAAATCCAGATCGTGATTTTAATCTATCTTTCTGGTTTTTGAAGATGGAAGTTAAGATTTTTAGTTATGTAATAAAAAGAAAACGGGAATGTGATTTGATTTGATTAGATTGCCACTTTTTGTGACAATTGCAATGATGGCATGTGCAGAGATTAGGGGAGTTTTAGTTGCCAATATGAGCAAATGGAGAGAGGTTAGTCGAAAGGTTAATTGCCTGCCGAATTCAGTGTTTGTTAACAATGATGTTTGATTATGCGTTCAATAACTTTTAGTGGTGTTAGAAACCTAAATCAAATTATTAGTGAATATACAGAGGGATACGGTATGTGGATAAGGTAGATTGAGTTGGAATTCTCTGTAATGTGGATTGTTTCTCATTGTATTTCAGGATTGTTAATCAACGATCAGGAGAGTAATCTATTTAGAATCGTGAAGTTTGTTCCTTCTAAGACTTGAATGTTAGAAGGAACAACTGATTGATAAGATTAGACAACACAGAGATGTTCTCGTTGTTTTATGGCCTTTGGAAGTATATATTTAGTAAGACAGAGTTTCATGTGCTCATTCTTGGAATCGACAAGGCTGGGAAGACGGTAATGCTTTTCTTTTGCCTTGATAGTTGAATCCATCATAAGCTTTACAGAATTGCTCTCGTCATTTATCTATGGTTGCCAGAGAGTTCACTTATTGTCAAGTTTTGTTTGTGAATTGGTAGACATTGCTGGAGAAACTGAAGTCATTATACTCAAACTTGGAAGGCCTCCCTCCTGATCGGATTGTTCCAACTGTTGGACTTAATATTGGTCGTATTGAAGTGGAAAATTCAAAACTGTTGTTTTGGGATCTAGGAGGTCAGGTATGTAAAGTTGATAAAAAATAATCAACTTTCTGAAACTGTCTAAAATCTACACAGGTTGGGTTTTCTTATGCTCGGCAAGGCTTAAGTGTTTTTTACATCGTTGTGGTTGTGCCAATTCCATTGCAATGGAGGCACTCTGCTGAACAACAGGCTTTGAATCAGATTTTAAATCCGTGGTCTTATGTATCATAAAAATACTCCAGGTTATATATTATGTCATGCTTATTGTTGTTAATTAAAAGAAAATTATGCATAAGCTCTGTCTAGGTGTTACTACAACTTTTATGTGAGAAACAGGCTAACATAATGTGAGATTTCAATTAGAAAAGTGATTATATTCTTTGGTTTTTGGTTTTATATGATGTGTTACACTGAATATGCAACATGCTCAATGTTTGAGGTATCTCTACACATTTCTCTTGCCAGCCTGGTCTTCGCTCAATTTGGGAAAAATATTATGAAGAGGCACATGCTTTGATTTATGTAATTGATGCTGCTTGCCCATCCCGTTTTGAAGATGCAAAATCCGAGTTGGGTAAGTGACATTCTATGGCCACAGTTTTAATCGTAATGAAGATCTTACTATTGGTAATAGAATGATGCACTAAAACCTTGAACATGTTTTAACAGAAAAAGTTCTTAGGCATGATGACTTGCAGGGAGCCCCTCTTTTGATATTAGCAAACAAGCAGGTATGACCTACTGTGCCTCTATTGTCATATTGCTTGTTGATCTTGCATATAATTAAGCAAAATGTAAGTTTTTGTTTCTTAGACATAAATTTTATGGCAGGATCTTCCTGATTCTGTATCGGCAGATGAGCTTGATCGATATCTAGACCTTAAGAAGTTGGATGAAAGGGTTTACATGTTTGAAGCTGTTTCAGCATATGATGGGTAAGCACATGCTAGAACTTTAGGTTCATTTCTGCCTGAACAATAGAGGCTCAGAAAATAATGTTGAAATCTGACAACCAATCTCAGCATCCAAACACCACCTCACAGATTGATATTTAATTGCAGTATGGGGATCAAAGAAAGTGTAGAGTGGCTCGTGAAGGTAATGGAACGAAGCAAGAGAACTGAGATGTTAAGAGCTCGTGCAGGTTTAACAGGCCCTGGGGCTTAGAGACTGTGTCCGATGCAGTTGTTTGCCCTGTATGTTGTAGCAGCTGTAAATAAACAGGGATTAACTTTGAGTCTACATGAAGAAGTCAATCCATTTTTCAACCTCCCCTCCCCTGCCGCAGCACAGCCTTCTCATTCATGCTCAGTATACAACACTTCTACTCTTGTAATGCAATGGAGCAAGTCAGAGGAGGGAGAACACTCCCTGCTGGAGTGACCAAGGTTGCTGGCGTAATATGTTACTACCTTTGCCACTTGAAATGTTTTTACTACCAAATTTTAAAACTGCTGAGGTGCATTAATTTCTCAGTCAATGATATTAGAGGAGTTAAAGATATCATTTGCTCTATTTATCATAGAATTCTAATTGTTGTGTCATCAGTTAAGACCCACAAGATGTTTTTAAGAGATGCAAATTTATAGAATGTGTGCCAAGTTGCCTTGTTCTATTCAATCCTAAGGAGTTTCTCTTGTTTTTTCATGATGGGAGTAAGATGAAGCTTACAAGAGATGTGAGATTCTTTTTTTGTTTTATTTTCCTATTTTTATTTTATATTTATAATGGAATCACCCATTAATCAATGAGGAAAGTCTAGCATTACACAGTGAACTGTCAAAAAGGGATGGCACTCATGAGTAAGCATATTTGTAAGTTCCGCGGTTCTGCTCGACACCTAGCCAAGGTAACCTAGACAGATTTTGTTTCGCTGTTTTGTTTGAGCAAAATAAATGCTAAGAATTGAGTTCAAGAAAATCAGCAGCACTGAAATATGGAATTCGAAAAAACTAAAGCTAATATTGGTCGTGGGTTGAAGAAGGGAAGGCTGTCCCACAAGGCACTAGCCATGGATTTTGCATGCATGATATTCCCATTTTCCCTGTCCAGATTAATCCAGGCAGGAGAGCTGAGTACGCTGGAGGGATCTTATATTCAGAAAACGGTAAACTCAAGAATGTCTTGGAATGCTGAAAAATTATGTATTGGAATTCAGATATAAGGTTACATTCATATATCAGACATTCAGAGTTTCATCCTGATAGAAAAGACTTGAGATGAATAAGCAATGAAGGATACAAATCTACATCCTAAGCTGGTTTTCTTTCATGAAAATTTAGTTAACCAAAATAGCGTCTTGCTTCAACTTGGCGAGTCTGCAAATGGACATGCATGCTTGCGTGCTGATTAGTTTGGAACAGCATGACCTGCAGGTCTGACTCTTTCCTTCACCAACGGTTGCGGTTCTAAGAGGAACGAAAGACAAGAGGAAGAAGAAATGTCAAGTTTGTGCAGCGGAATAGTTATATGAAGATGAACAAAAATCTTGAAGATAGAACAACCATACAATAAGTTCCGAAAGGAAAGGCAAAAGAACAGAAGAGGTATCACCAAAATATTTACCAAAAAATCAGCAGACAGACTCCCTCCTGGGGGGGGGTTGTACGCAATATAATTCAGGAATAATAATTTTCTTCAAAAACAACCATAAAGATAAATACAGCCACTCATTTTCAGAGTCACAATTAACCCAAATCAGCCAACCATAAAGAT